TTTCCAAAGGGGCCCGGTCTAACCACCCTCGGTCCGGGCCCCCCAATCAAATAAGGGGAAGCGGATACCGAATACTCGGTGAAACCTTTCCGCAGAAGACAGAATACTTCCCATCCGCATCCACATCCCCCTCCTCAGCTTCCTACTACTACTCCTTATCCCAAAAATTAACCCTCAACAATCTTTGGGTTTTTCTTTTTGATCTCAATATTGTCTGAACTCTGGGATTTGTTGCCAGTTCCTCCTCTCTCCCTCCCTCTCATTCTTCTTCTACTCATGCTCTTATCACTCATTCTCTTCTCTCCATATCACTCAAATCACGTTTTGTTTGACCTGGCAATCCGTCTTGCTTTGTTTTTTTATGTGGCATCTTGCTTGCATCACATCTGCACCCTCCCCCCCCCCCAACAAAATAACATCAAAAACAGAGATATTCATCACTTCCAACATCCACTTACACACGCCTTTATTAATAACATAAACACAACCAAACAAACATGAAGGTCATATGCTCTTTTCTTTTTCTTCCTTTCTTTGTCCTGCTGCCCCCCTTTTCATCCACCAAAACCAAACCAAACAGATTTTTTTTTTTCAATTTCAAATGGACTTTTTTTGTCATGCTCATCTCTATCCTACTTCTTCTTTTATCTAGACACTGTTCCTCCACTTGTCTCTCTCTTTTTTTCTCTCTTATCCACCTAAACAAACCTTGGTCTGTCTTTGGGCTATGGTTTGTGTCATGCTTTATCTATCATACATCCTCTTTCTCCCTCCCCTCTTTTTTTCTTTCTTCAACTCAACCTAAGAAAAAACAAAACAAACTTCTCTTATCTATCTTGCAGCTTGATTACACAACCTCATCTGCCACACACTTCAGAATATCTTCAGCCACATACACATACACTCATCCAGACTGATCCAAATATCCATTTGTTTTGTTTTATTGTGTATATGTAGATTCCTCACTTTTTGTTTGTTTGGTTGGTTGGTCATGAGTTGGTTTTTTTTATGCTTATTTGAAGCTTGTTTGTGCGGTGTGAATCTGAGTTTTGAATTATCTGGTCTGTTTTCTCTCTCTCACACACTCACACTCAACATTGAATTAATCACCACAAAAAACAAATTGGCGGATGGTTTGGGTGTAGGTTGAATGGGTGGCTTGGATGCACACAACTGTGTATGCTTGCTTTCTGGGAGCACTGAGAATTGCTCCACACTTGCTGATATTCTGGCACATCTTTTCTTGGGGTTTTTTTTTTTTGAGTGTGTGAGGGTCAGTTTGGCCATAGACCTTTGTGGCTAATGCTGCAGTTCCCAGTAAGCTTGTGTTTGCAAGTTCCTGGGATGCCAATTCTTTGTTTTTTATTTGTGCCTTGAAAGCTGCAGTACACACGACTGCACGGGTTGTAAATTTGCTGCTTATAAGGCCTTGTTGGGACGCCTGGCAGATGACTGGCAGTCTAATGCTTGCAGCTTCTGACTCCAAAAAAAAAAAACTGGGAAGATTTCTCAACTCGCTTGATTCTTCTACGTGAACAACTCTAGTGGGATTTGTTATTCCTGGAATCTTGCGGCTGTATGTACAAGACCACTTTGAGCACAATCAAGCACAGAAGAAGCGAGGCAAAAAAAAAACTTGGGATCTTGCACGCTAATTTCTGGGATACTCTGCTTCGTCTCAGACTCTGCCTCTGATCACCTTGTTTGTTGTGCAGGAGTTGTATGCACAGCGGATTTACACTGTCGATTGTGGCCGCTTCTTTTTTTTTTTTTTGGGGGGGGGGGGTTCCAGGATGCCATAACTCTTGCTAATTCAAGTCTGGAGACTTGCTCTTGTAGCACTTAATCATATGATGGGTCCCAAAAAATTAAGATGAAAAAAAAAAAAACATAAAAAAACAAAAAAACAAAAAAACATTCTTATATACATATATATTATAAATATGAACAGTTAGAGTACATTACCATAAATTTCTTCTTAAAGAATAACTAGAAATGTATGCATGAGATCCACAATGTGTTGGGATTTATGACTCCAAAAAAAATACACAACTTGGTTTGGAAAAAGAGAAAGATGCCTATGTGTAGAAGAACGTACGAGTCTCTTGATGAGCTGGAGCAGGTAGTGGAAATGTGAATCCTTTGCTTGGATGTGCTCTTCATGCGGTCATCACTCAGATCATTCATGAAATCTGGAGGGGGGGGGGCACATGGAGCCTGTGGAATGATGGAAATATGAACAGTTAGAATAAATGGACTCCAAATCGTTTTGGGGTCCTTGTTTCCATTAGATCAATAAAAAATTCTTCTTAAAGAATAACTAGAAATGTATGCATGAGATCTGTGATGTGTTGGGATCCAAAACTGCCAAAAAACACTCCCTGCCTAAAAGAAACTAGTTGTTGGGATCCAAAACTGCCAAAAAACACTCCCTGCCTAAAAGAAACTAGTTGCACCTTACAGCTCTGGGGTGTAGGTCCACTCCAATATAGATGGGCCTTGCTCTGAGCTATGCAATGTGCAGAAACACTCAATTTTCCACCTTATAGTGGAATATAAAAGGGTAATCATCACATAAAGATTTTTTTTAGCTCCTGGCCAGAAAACAATGGTACATGCATGCATGCATGCACTTGCAACTTTACTTCATATCCTGTACTGGATATGCAGTGAAATAAGACTCAATATGGAGTATTTTTTTGTTCACTTCTTCACACACCATTTTAACAAAAAAAAGACAAAATACTGCATATCCAGTTTCTTTTTACTACACTGTTGAAAGTGCATAGAATGTTTTGGCCAAACTGCAATCCTAGACATGAAATTTGTACACCATAACTGGTTTTGGTATCACCGGTGCCGAGCTGATCTTATTGGGCAGGCAACTTGATTGATAAATTGGTGGTAATCTTCTTCACAGGCATCTCCGCTGTGGTGGTTGAGAAGTCATTGTGAGAAGACATCTTGGAACGGGTATGAAGAGGCGGTGATGATAGGAATTCAAGATTTTTCAATCAAGTCAACCACTTCCAGATGGATCAGACACAAAAACTGCAAAAAGTTCAAAAAAGATATAAGAAACCAGAATTACAACTATTAAGTTGGTCAATTGGTATTGATAACTTTTTTGGTAGTGATAACTTTTCAAAAGTTGGTAATCCGGATTCCTAACTTTTTGGAATCCAAAAGTTGAAGCAATTTTATTTTGACCAAAATCCAAACATTTCTGGTTGAAAAGGTCAGAGGACCGGCTGAAAACTCTTCTTGCAACCTTTCTCAGGCCAGAAAGTTGAGCAAACAATTTGATCATGAACCAACTTTTTCAAAAAAAGTTGGAAATCTGGTTCACAAAAACTTGCACCCATGATGACGTATGAATGAGCTCCAATGTTCCTGATAATATATTGATGAGTGGTTTCCAGGGGCTTATAGAAACCCTCTTGGTGGGGCATCAAACTCTCAGATCAGCCAAGATTTCAAACTCAAAATCAAAAATAAAGAAAAACTATGAACTTCATTCAAAAGGAAATTCCGGTTTGCGTGTAATCAATTTGTCAATCAGTTTCATTTGTAGAAATTTCTTACAATTTTTTTGCAACTTTGTTATGAGTATGCAGTGCATTTGAGCAATGGGCTGCCCATTGGATTCCTTCATCAACCCTTTTGGACCAGAAACCAAGATAAAAACCTTGATCTAGGCCCTGAGGCCGATTGCCTGAGGGCCGCTGACCCGAGGTGCACATTCGGTTGGTCCATTCGGACGGCTGAATGAACAGAAAAGAATCAAAATCGTCCACAGTCGATTGTCTAATCTTGCCCCGGACTGCCTCAAATGCAACAAGCCAACGGTTAATCGAGTCTAACCAATCTCGCGATAGCCCGACCTTGTTGCTCTGATATTTTTCTGCATCGAATTTGGAGTCCGGTAGTCCGTCTTGCTGAGCTCATCCTGAGCCAATCGGCGGCCGGTCTGGTTGATGAGACATTCGAGCCCATGGCTAATGAGTCTGCTGTTGATGATGGTTCGTTGGCGGATGGGTCAACGCCGCCATCAGGAAAGCTTCGTTGCAAAGTATCGAGCAAACGTTTCTGTGGTGAGGTGTCAAATCGACGCTCCGAGTTTGCCCAAGGGGCAGATCACCCCGTCCTGAGATGACAAGTTTCAAGCAAGCACATTTTTTTTCGTGGTTTGATTTGACTCACTTTCATCCTGACACTGAAATGCTCCAGCAGTGTATGGGTGTGTCCTGGTGTTCCAGTGACCACAGTAGAACGCTCATCCAATCATCATCGCTCAGTTCTGTACAACATGCACTCAACTTGTCCTCACCGAGGTTGAACCCACCGAAAAGTAAGAATTGCCGAGCAAACCACTGCCCTCACTGAAATTTACCAGTCGATTACTGTTGTGTATACCGCATATCCAACCAATCCCACCGAGTAAGCATGTATGCATCCGCAGTGATAAGATATATGTCTCATGAGCCCTTCAAGTCTCAACGTCTGCGATCCAATCAAACAGTTAGTTTACAGTTCATGAAATCAAAAAGTAAGTGTTAATACAGCTCGTCAAAGAAACATTCAAAGAATCGATGATTTAGAGCTGACGGCGGTAATCGGCACTATATACTAGTAGAGGTCGGGACAAAAGGGAGATCCTTTCCCTACCAAGTTTTTAATCGCTCCAGCCCAACTTCAATCTAACTCTTATTATATCCTTAGCTTATTCCATTAAATTCCCTCGCCTCTATAGTCTTATCATGCTTGTTAGGCGTTTGGTCTTCGCATACCTCTCCACCTTTCCGCTGGGTGAGTGTGCTCTCGGCGATGCGGCGAAGGACTTAGGCCAAATAGTCTCTCATGGTGGGGATGGAGGCCCGAGAGCTGCCGCGGAGGGCATGGATTTCCATAGTACCAATCCCACTGCCAACGGGGGTATGCCTACAACATCACCGAAAATGCCGAATTTATTAGCAAAGGCAAGAACGCAACCTGCAGATGCCGACAAGGATATCATGTCTCGATGGGCTAAAGACCCTGGATTTGAAATGCCCCGACTAGCCCCCCCTGACGAATGGAGAATCAAGACTTGGTGGATTAAACACTGGACACCTATAGGAAGAAGATTGCAAACAGAGGGTCTGAGAGTGCTTGGTTGGCTTGCCCTGCCTTTTCATCTTTTCACGCCGCTCAAGCAGCAAGTGAAACCAGTATCATTCAGCAGATTGGGTATGTACAAGTCATAGACCATCAATCCTTGTTTTCTTCGCGATATATAATAACAATTTGCTCTTCATCCGCTATTTCGATGTGGCGATCCATTGAATTTTCCAAAGCACGCAAGCAGACTGCAGCTTGGGAAAAACCAAAACCAGGTGAGCATATATGATTGCTGCATCAAGCAGTCGGAATTGCCTAACTTTTCATCGTTTATTTGATTCAAACCTCTACTCTAGGGATTTTTTCGGTATTTAAAGAGTGGCTGAAAAATAAAATGGCAATTGGTTCGAAGAAAGTGACGCCTGTGATCCCTGAGAAATATCACGAAGAACTTGTGGAAAAGCTCGAAGGACCTGTCAATAAGGAAGATAGCGGAAATCCCTTTGAAGGACTTGTTGAGCCACGCGAGTCAAAATGGCGGACACCAGAATATCGTGAGCACTTGGTTGGTCGTTCTATCTGACTTAGCTACTCGTCAGTTGACACAAACATGTGTCTCTCGTCTTGGTTCACAAAACAGCACCTATATTTTCTAAAGACCCCTTGGTCGCAGAATCTTACAATGTAGGAGCGGATATTAATGACTTAACAAAGGCTGGGGAATCCCCGGATTCAATCAAGAAAACCCTCATAACCAGATTGTATGATCGCAATCCGGCCGCTGCATATTCAGAAGCGGACGCGAAAAAGTTAGAGCAATTCGTCACATCGGATGAACATCTTTCAATACTCCAGCGACTCTATCTCAGAAAAAACGAACTTTTAGAGTTGCATTGGAAAATGCAAGGGGTTTTAAATCGCGTGGTTTCTGCTTTAGGAGGAGAGGATGAAACTAGCGAAACATTTCGACAAATCATCCAATATCATGATAAAATGATCCACGGTGAAGAAAGCAGGATTGGAGATCCAGAAAAAAAAGTAGACAAGAAGTTCTTCGAGAGAGTGAACCCGTCTCCCTTGATGCAAGAGTTGGACCCTGGTAAGTCAAGTTGAATCAGATAACTGCCGTGATTGTAATAGTATTGATTCTGGTTCCTCACATACATGCTATTTCATTTACAGCGGCATACCAGATGCATCTATCACCGCTATTATACCTAGAAGAAGTTATCAAACTTTTGGACCACGACGCAGTCGTTGGGCTCAAGGATGCCAGCGGCTACATTCAGAATACGCCAAGACTCGATGTGTTGAAGTCAGCAGCGGAAGATGTCAAAAAATACGCAAGTCTATCCAGGGAGGTTGACATACTCCAGAAAAAAGTAATACAGATGGGAAAATACGTACCTGCATTTACGAAAGCCCACTTCAAGGATCAACGTACCATGAAAAATATATTCAAAGATTTGTTAAGTCCTGATAGAGTTTATCCTGGAATAAAAGGGGTAAAGAAAGCCTCTCCCTGAAGTCCTAAACTATTCTACTTATTGTTATTGTTGAATTTTTCTTACCATTCCATTTCTGAAAATCAACTATCTTGTATATTTTCTGTGTTTCAAGATTCTTTTGTGCTTTGCAGGGTGCACACATATATTGGTTTTCATATTTTCTTCCAATTGCTCTAGCTTTTGTTTCATTTTTATTCTAAATATCTTATCAGTAATTTGGGCTCTGATTGAAAATACAGATTGGTTTTTTGAAACCTTAGTCATGGAGGAGAGAAAATCAAAAGGCATATTTGTTATTTGTAACAATTTTTCTGAATGGGGAACATACATTTGATCAAACAATAAATTTTTATCAAACTTTCACAGCAATGACAATATGCTTTGTGTCATAGATCAATAAACATACATGTTTGTGTTGAGCTTGAAACATGGGTTGATAAAAATTGCCATTGATTTTGGGAGTTAGAAAACTTCCATTTTCTAGCCAATAAATCCCATTTTCTAGCCAGCAACTCCCAAGGACTGTTGATGGAAATCTGTTGGGAGTCATTTTCTAAAACATGGGCCATATTTGGGCAGTTGTCCGGCCCATATTATATTTTTTGGAATTGGCTTCCCAAACCCCCACTCACACAGGGGGGGGGGGGGGGCTGACCTCACTAGAAAGTATTGTGTTGCACTGTACACATGAGCAATAAAATTGCCTGGTGGCATGTGATGTTATTGTGCATATTTACAATGTGATCCAACTCTCTTCCTTCAAAGGGGGGAAGTATTGGATCACATTGTACATATGTGCAATAACATCAACTGGGGGCATGCAATGTTTTCACACACATGTACAATGCAACACAAACATTTTTCTAGTGCTGGAAGGAATCCCTTCCGGCCAATGGACCAGAAGAAATTTTTTCTGGCCAATGAGGTGGCTGTACCTCATTTACTGGGAGGAATTCCTTGAGGTACAGCTACCTCACCAACCAGAAGGGATTCTCATTGACTTGAAGGAGCCCTTTTCTAGTTGATGAGGTAGCTGTACCTCATTAGCCGGAAATTATTCCTAATCCTGGCAGTTGATGAGGTCTCTGCACCTCATAGAAGGAAGCCCTTTCAGTCAATGAGGTAGCTGTACCTCATTGACCAGAAGGGATTCCTTCCAGTCAGTGGGAGCAACTCCCATGTTGAGTTACCTATGTCACAATTCTTATTTCATTTCCATAGCTACAGTAGTCATTGTGCTTCTCTCTGATTTCACTTCTCACATGACACAGGTTGTGATACTCATCATGTTTCTTTTTAGTTCTTATACTGGAGTCAACACTTCTGGAAAGGATTCCTCTTTTCTCATCCTTTCCGACGGTGTTGTCTCCAGTACATCTCATCATCCCCCCCCCATGTGTGAGGGGTGGTTTGGAAAGCCAAATTCCAAAAAGAAAAACTCAGATAGGCCGGACAACTCCCAAAGCTGGCCCATATTTTAGAAAACAAATTGGGTCCTTGGGAGTTGTTGGCTAGAAAACGGGAGTTGTTTTTATAAGCCCCTTGATTTTATCTGAATTTGCCTGAGAAACTGCAGTTGGTATTGTTTTCAAACTTAGCCAAATATTGGGGGGGGGGGGAGGGTGCACACCTGAAATCACTGCCAAAATGATTGTATCAGATTGTTACATCTGGCATTAAATCAGATAGAAATATCTGATATTACATCAGGAAAAACTGGGATTGTATCTACCAGAATTGATGTTATATCTACCTAAAATGATATTGTGTCTATCATGAAATATATTACATTGTACCACCCTATTCAATGTCAACATAACTGAATTTGTATCAGATTTTTCCATCTGATTTAATGCCATGGGCTAAAACTTTGTATCAGATGTAAAAATCTGCTATAAAATCAGTTATGTTGACATTAAATAGGTTGGGCTGATGCAATATCTGTTATGATAGATATAACATGGTTTTAGGTAGATATAATATCACTCCTGATAGATATAATACCAGTTTGGCCTGATGTAAAATCAGTTTTTTTTCATCTGATATGTTGCCAGATGTGGGAATCTGATATAATGACATTTGCAGTGAATAAACCAGGTGAAGATCATGAGAACAGCAAAATGAGAGGCATTGAGAAATGGAAGACATGCAGGAAAGTATTGATGAGTGAGACATTTGCAGAGTGCAATATCAATAAATAAAAAGAATCACAATCACAACTTTTCCAGATATTACCAAATGTTGCACATGTTCCAATGCTGCCACAGATACGATACACTGTGTGTATCATGGAGAATTCTGCAAAGCTGCATGGCCAAAAACCAAATTTGTTGAATCTCCTTGCAAATAAAAGCAGATTGGTCAGATAGTTTTTTTTATTGGGGCTCAGATACATATTGATACATGGCAGATACGGGCAGATACCGTATCTGTGGCAGCGTTGCATGTTCCCTCCAAATTGGTTGAGCCTGAAAATATTGTGGAATCATGGAAATTCAAATATTCCAGTTTCACCTGAATGTGGTAAGTATGAAATTGAGTAACATAGGGAGTGAATTCCATCTCTGATCCCCTGCTTGCATGATATCATCCACTACTTTTTATATTCCTTGATTTTGTTTCAGATATTCCCCATTGAATTCCTTTTTTGATTTGATTTTTTGCAAGCTTAGAATCAGAGAAGTTGATGTCACCACATCATGGGTTGGTTGGCACTGAATTTGAAACATGATTTTTGATTTGCAGTCCAATTTTTTAAACTTCAAATTGAAAACATGCCATCTTTTTGAATAAGGAAATCGTTTTTGATTGGTGTTGAATTTTTGACCCTCTGACAGACTAGAGAAGAGGACTTTGAGAACGGGGCACAAAAAAGGTGAAGGCCTTTTTTGGGAAAGGTTCACGGTAAAGGATTGTAAAGAACCAATGATTTTATTCACTTGCAACTAGCCCAGATTAAATAGACTAGGTACAAATGGTCAAAAAGTGGTTGAAAGAAAAATGAATAAAGAAAAAGTATTTTGAATAAAAATTGAGAGAAAATAGAATAAGTTCTTGGAAAATAACAAACTGCGCAGTACTTCTCATTCTCCTGTAGTAAAAGCCAGATGAGCTAGTCAAGAAAAAATATTCTAAGTCACAAATAACAAGAGGCGTTAATTCTTGGTAACCAATTTTTAATATCAAACAATAAACCAGAAAAAGAAGAAATTACAACCGTAGAGACAAGATTGATTGAGTTGAGTTTAATTTCTTAAGGTTCAAATTTGACTCAGAAGAGTACTCAGAAAACAACCAGAAAACATGCTACTTGGTGAAATTAAATCAGTCTAATTTAAGGTGATAAGAAATGTTAAAAGGTCAGAGAGAGAAAGAGAGGAAAATTTCAACAATTGGCCAGAAGATGTAGGAAAAAAAGCGTCATTTTTTGTCCAGAAAGTGTTCACATGGAAATTAGAAATTTATTCAAGGTTTATGAAGAACACAATAAATGATGAGCCATCTCCATACTTTGTGTTAGGGACCTATTTTTGGCCTTTTGGTGGCTGAAGGCAGCCTGTCTAATCTGTCTTCTTGGCATACTTTTGCCCCTGTGTGGTAGAGCTGGGTCTGTCATGTATGAGACTCAAGTCACCATCTCTGCTTCTTGACACTCCAGATCATTCCTAGTATTCATCCCTGAGATGACAATTTGAGCACCTTAAGATATGCAGCAGTCAAGCAGCTCAATCTCGACAAGGCTGACACCGGACTCATTGGTGTCAGTGGAGGGATTCTATATATCTGTTCTTACTAATACGAGCCTCTCGTTTCAGAGGGCGGATGGTTAAGTGCTCTGGTCCCCCAGGCCGTGATTCAGGGACTAAGGAAAGACTAGGTATTTAATTGTCCTGATATGTTCTTAAACATGGACAGACTTCAAGTTGGAAGCTGGGAAACGGGTTATGTACCACGGTACCCATTCCTTTGTAAGTATGTTATACATATTGCATTAAAGCTCTAAAGGAGTTGATTGCTTCAAAGTCTAATTTTTATCTTCCGGGTTCTAGGTGGCGCTTTGGATATCACCGCTTTTGACTGGGATACAAATTCACCACAAGGATGTCATCTGATGAGCTACGTAACAAGAGATCTCGCCTTATTCCAGTAGCAGGATCCGGCGATATTATATATAGGTATATGTGGTCGTATGGGTAATATTGGAAAAGCACCGGCCTCCCTCCTTGGTCCAAATACGAGCTGCACTTGGTTTCTTATAAGAACCCCTAGCGGCATCGGCGTCTTTTTCGTAGGTATCCGGTTCAGTCAATAGAGTACAATTCTTTGCTTTTTTCAAGACTTCGTTCTTTGGTCACTAGTACCCCAAATGCCCCACCAGCCCTGGACCATGCAACCTCACGCTAGGCCAACCCCAAAAGCGGGATACTCAGTCACTCATACAGGTTCAGCGGAGCAATCCTCAGTCTACTTAACGGGAAAATCGTTATGGACTAGTCACCCAGTTTTGCCCTTTGCCAAGGATGCTGCTCAAGATAGATTGTCATTCACCCCGTATTCTCAGTATTCCTGGTTTGATGAAAGCAAGCCCGAGCTCGGAAAATGTACTCAGTGTTATAGAGCCGCCGGTCAAGCTGAGCAAAATGAGGAAATAATTCCCTCACCTTACCATGACCCGCTTAAAAGAGCTCTTTCCGTCACGAGTTACCAAAGTAACATCGACTCCACGAGTTTCTTACCGAGTAACCCTCACATCCCTTCTCCGACTCAAAGCTTCTTTCAAAATTATACATTCACTGATCCTCAAAACCAAGCGAACCACGCGACTTATTTCTCGCCGGAACCTCTTGCACCACACGTGAACTGTACCCTGTCCTCTGGGGGCGAAATACCAACTGAAGAAACCCGGAGACCAGAGAGACAGCGCGTTCAGCCTGGAATCATGCCGCTTGTTTCGTCTATGCTCAAGTATCCGATCCTTGAACCTACCAAAATCCATACCGTGAACCGATCAGCTCGTCGCCTGGAAAAGAACTTTCGCTATGGATTCGTACAACCTAAGATGCTCCTAGATCAACGAGAATCCAGCCAGGTTGAATCAAGCGAATTTTCGAGAGTAAATTTATTGGTAGAGCAAGGACAAACGTTGTTCATGCTTGCCTTCGGGTCGATGAAATATGATTGTCTTCCTAGGCTCGACGAGCTCAAGCAATCATTGCAAGCTGTAGAGACGACAATCCTGCAAGGCGATTTCAAGCTAGTGAACGCGAATCAGTACTCAGAGTAAGAATCTCATCCCTACTCGGCATTTCTTGGTTGAGGCTGATTGTGTTTGTCACCCGCAGGATATGGACTAGATTAGAGGCCATCCACGACCAAGCGATTTCCGTGGGGGATTCCTTAATTGACTTCACCAAGCATCTATCCAGACTTCAAAAGTGGGTGTGCGCATGCCTCATACCAGCCAGTATTCGATTTTACTCGATCATCCAGGACGTGAATCGGAACCGGGCTAGCAAACGGAGAGATAACAATTCTGGTGAAGAGGAGCCTGGTTCAGCCTTGATGCTTCTCAAAGAGGTCGTTGAAGACATCGACACCGCCCAACTCTTCATCAGCTTCTACCACAGCTGCATGTCATCCTTTCTGTTAACTCTTGACGAATTCCTTCATGCTATACCAGAGGCGGGCTTGTCGGTCGATGAACTCGTGCTTTGGAGTCGGTTGTCCAGCTCCTCAATGGACGATGTCTCCAACGGACTGGTTTCGTTTCGAGATATATCCGAAAAATTTGCATCCTCGACCGTGACGACCCCGAATCCGCCGAACTCCAATTAGTTCTTCCGCCACAGAAGGAAGATACGATGATCGTTTTTTTTTTTGTGTGCCCTCAAAAGATCTGTGGATCAGTTCTTTCTGAGCATCTGTTTTCATCCAAATTGCCGGCACAAGAAGTACACATCAATAGGACAGCTCTAGATTCCTATATTATAAATGTGCTCATTGTTTGTCAGGAGTACCATAAACCGTTTTTTTATCCTAACCCCTCGAGCCGCTGCGCCCCCCTTTTTATCTCTTAAATGTATATATTTTGAGTTGGAGATAATCTATGATAATCTTCATCTGACAGGAAACCCAATGGCTCTTTTCTTATGGTTTGTGATCCGTCGTTATTTTCCACATTGAATTCAGATGCTATCAGTCACAGTGTATATAGCCAAATAGTATTGTGAATGAAAACCCCATCCGAATGATTCCCCCGTCTTAACCTGTTACTGTATCAAGACATACTTTTATTTGTAAAGGGTTCGATGAAGCCTTGTCAGAGGGGGGAATGAAGTAAGGCGACAATTATAAACACTTTTTGAATGTTTTTTGAATTTTTTTTTGATTGTTCTTGATTACGTTTCCATTATGTTTTGCAACTAAATTCGTAGTCAAAACACTTGTAAAAATGTTTCAAAAACGATGGAATTATAAACGCGCGGGGCCGCTTACAGGCTATAGATGGTTTCCATCCTTATGTGTTGCCCCTGTATAAGCCTCATGCTCGGAAGACCACGGGCACAATGCTCCCTCCTCCGATCAACCCCACCAGTGTCATCCAAATCGCGGCCCTATGGAATTGGCACCGACAGCAGCAAAGACTCGATGAGCAAATTTACATCCGAGCCGAACGGGTGGCATTTGTCCGTCCTGTCCGCTGGGAGCCATGGAACGACGACCGACTGCCTGAAGTACGATTCATGGAGTACTTCAGATTGTCACGGGCCGATTTCGCTTGGCTGTGCGACGAGTTGCGTGGAGCTTTGGAGCAAGATCCCCTCCGCCGGGGGGTAAAGAGGCACGAGTATGGGATACGAGTATGGAAAGCTAAGAGATCTTAGATTGCATAAGGAAAAGCATAGTGTATAGGAAATCTATGGCTATTTATACTATACACTATGTACATGAGAAACTAACTCAGAGAGACTAAGAGAAAGAGAGCTGTCAAGGAGAAAGTCTTGACAGTGTGAGAAAGAGATGTCATCGTGCTCATCGTGAGTGTTACTCATGATACATAATGTAGCTATGTGTAATCTTATGTAAGGGATTACATAATCATGCTACAACACCCCCCCACACGATGGCATTCCACCTTGAACTACAACTTGTTGCGAATCATGAATAGGAAAAGAAAGGTTTTTTGTAAAAATGTCGGCGTATTGATCCTTGGTCGCCACCCATTCGACCGATATCTTGCCTTCGGCAAACGCTTGGTTGGTGATATAAAATTCTCTATCGGTGTGGCGGACCCGCTTGTTAGACGTATCGTTTGAACTTATCTTAACCGTAGCCTGATTGTCGCACTTGATCCGGCCTACAAACCACGTCCCATAAATATCGAACAGTAAATTCCTGATCCATAGCATTTGCTTGGTGCAGTGTCCCAGGGCCATATATTCAGCGTGGGCAGTAGATGAGGCCACTGTAGCCAGCCTTTTTGAGATCCAAGCGACAGGGCAACCAAAATGGAAAATAATGAGACCATAGGTGGAGCGGGAGAACTCACCCCCCCAGTTTGAGTCAACATATCCAGACAAAACCTGACTCTTCGCTGTCGGGCGAAGAAGCAGCGGTCGTGTCGTTGTGTACGCTATATAATTCACCAAAGTTCGGAGCCACTCCCAGTGCGCATCCGAAGGGGCCTTAGAGAAGCGCGCAAGGAAATTTACCGCAAAACAAATATCAGGTCTGGTCCCAACCGCAAGGTAACTGAGCATGCCGATAACTGAGAGGTATTCTGAAGAGTTAATACCTGTGCCAGTGTTCGTCAGTGGCAGATTCCCGCTGGGGAGCGGCGTCCTGCTCGTAGTGGCTCCATCCCAGTGTTCAGCCAGTAGTTTATTGATGAGTTTCGGTTGAGACAAGCTGAAACCGTACCCGTCCCTAACGATGCTCAAACCGACAATATCAGTAAGGCTGTCTTCCCATTTTATCTTAATGGCAGCTGACAAATCCTTCTCCAATTGTTTTAAGATATCAGTGCTAGCCGCCGTAACGATTCCATCGTCGACATGCACCCAGATCATGTCCCCCCCAGACTTGCGCTCCATCACATAGATGCTCGAATCGTACTTTGAGGCAGTATATCCCAAAGATTCCAATATATTAGCCAGGTGTTTCCACCAACACCTCGCCGCCTGCTTTGTCCCGTATAACGCCTTCTTGAGATGGCAAGCAGAACCTGTCGGAACATTCATGACTTCGGGTGCCGCGACCCAGAGGTCTTCGTCTATGGGGGAGTTAAGGTAAGCCGCCACGAAGTCAAAAGAGTGTACGGGCCATCCTTTTGAGGCTGCCAGGGAAAGAAGAATACGCATAGACACAAAAGTAGCGGTAGGGGCAAACGTCTCACTATATTGGATCCCAGCAACTTGGGAGTAGCCCCGCGCCACATATCGGGCCTTGAATCGGTCCGTCGAGCCGTCGGCCTTCAATTTCTTCGCAAAAACCCACTTGGCCGTCATGACTTTGGTGTCATTGGGGACAGGTTTCACCTCCCAGACTCCGAGGCGGTCGAGATTGGAAAGCTCTTCCTTAATAGCCGCAAGCCAGGCATCCTTATCGGGACTCTTGAGGACCTGCTTGTAGGTGCTAGGGACGCCCGCCACTGCACAGTCAGGAACAGACAAGGCCACCAGGTCCACAAGGACGTCCTGATCAGCAGCCATCTCTTCGTCCCGGAAATCACCTAGTTTCAATTCAGACATATCTGCAAGGGAAAAAACGGGTTGCTCGATGGTTTTAGGATTGGGATGATGTCGGAAGGTAGCTAGAGCGGAGTTGACGAAGCTGTTAGAAGACGGTAGCCAAAAACACCAACCCTTGGAATCGGGAAGGATGGAGACGACATAGCCAGGGATAGCACGCTCGTCCAGCTTTTGACGTTTCTCCTCGGACACATGGACATAAGCCTGATCCCCAAACACACGTGCTAGCTCTAGGCTTGGTTTCTCCCCAAAGAAAGACTCATAAGGGGAGACCCTTCCACTAGCCCCATTGGGAATCCGATTCAGAAGGTAATTTGCCCACACGAAGGAGAACGACCAAAACTCCTTCCCCAGGTTACTGCCGATAAGCAGTGTACGCCCCATATCTTGCAGTGTACGGTTAAATCGTTCTATGGAACCGTTCTGATAATGGTGATAAGCGATCGCACGTTCCACCCGGATGCCCTTATCCTGCAGGAAACGAGCCAACACATTACTGTTGAATTCACCACCATTATCCGACCGCAGGGTCTTCAGTCCCTTACCAGTCTGGCGTTCCAGGCGATTGATGGTGTCAATGAGAAACCTCACCGCCTCAGATTTGGCAGCAAGTATCTTCACCTCGCTATATCCAGATCCAACATCCCGAATGGTCAGAATGTACTTGCCCCCCCCCGATCGCCTCCACCTCAAAAGGCCCGATGAGGTCTACATTCCACAAGTCCATGGCAGAGAAATGGCGCTGCGTCGAGGATAAGGTGTTCTTATGAATACTCTTAGAGATCATGCACGTGGGACAATGGATGTGCCCAGCTGGTAACTCCGAGGGCATACCCAAATCAACACCCTCTTTAATCATGCGACGAATAACGCGCAGACTAAGATGGCCATAGCGCAAGTGAATCAGCATAAGAGTGCGTTCATCTTGAGACAAACGAGAAATATCAACCGAACGAGGCACGTTCCCCGGAACATTGAAAACAAACGGATTGTCAATTGCGTGTTCTGCCGCCGGGACGGCAGGAACATGAACGGCAGGGGAGACAGTAACAGGAGAACGAGAAGTAGGAGCAGTAACGACAGTAGAATGAGAAGCAGACGGAACAATGGAGGAAGGAAAACAACGCCGAGAAGAAGGAGTGACAGTAGTAGGAAAAGGAACAGAAACAGGCACGGGCCGGGGAAAGAGCCACTTCCTGGAAGGAAGAGCCAGACGACTCTTGACCCAAAGAAGTCGGCCAGAAAACACATTAAAAGAGTCATCACCACAGTCATACGTAATTACAAAACCAGCCAAACGGAGAGCGGCAGGCGAAATGAGAGTGTACCGAGCGCCAGAGCAATAAAGAACCCCCTTAAGCCCGATGCGCGTTGAATTGGGACCACGGAAATAGAGGGTACCCACTGCAGTAATAAAATGGGAATGACTGTTAGTGGCTACTTTCAGAGGAATAGGCTTAGACAGTAATTTAAAATCATGGAGGGCTAACTTGTCACCCGTCAGATGGTGCGTAGCGCCAGTATCAAAAAGAACCTCGGGCGGGGTGGACGGCAGGTCGAGATCAGCATTGCGAGCTTCCGGAGAGGGCATAGGATGATCCTCATCACCCGACGGCATCTCATGATCAGTTGGCATATCATCGACATCAGCCTGGCGAGCGGCAGGGCGTCCGTTACCCCTGCCGTAGTTGGGGCGGTAGGAGTCGGCCGGGCGCAGGGTTGGTCCGGAAGGAGCAGCAGGGGGACGAGGCGCGGTCGGGGCTTGATAACCGACAGGGGGGGTGACAATAGGATAGAATGCTTGAAACTGATGGGAAGAACCGTGCGAGACAACACCGGACTGGTGACGAGGTTGACGCGGAGGTTCGGTGCAGTCCGCAATTTGATGGCGAGTTGAACCACATCGGAAACAGGTGCGGGGTCTCGTCTCATTGCGACGTTCAGGCCTGCCAGCCAAACCGTAGACATTTCCCGGATGACTTTCAATGGACGGACTTCTGTCCATCTGCCCTCCGGCCGCCAATCCAGTGGGAGCAAGATCGCGTTGGCGGTCCCGGGCCCGAACATTCAGGCGAGTCTGGCTAGCGGCGAGGAGATCGATGACGCGGTCGAAGCGAGGCACCGTGTTGTTGTTCCAGGACAACTCCATGTCCATGCGTTGATCGAACTCATTGCGAAGATCAGTTCCATGGGGTATGGCGGACTGAAGAATAAGGCCCAACACCGCGTCGCGGGAGAAAGGAATGCCAGAAGCCAACAGATCGTCGAAGCAGGAGCGGAAAGAGGAGGATAGCTCACTGGCATTGACATTGCTGGAGACCGTGATGTGAAAGAGGTCTCGCCACCTTGCCAATTGCGTAGCGCGATTGATGGTACCGAAACGGCCTTTGATAGCCGCCAACATCGAGTCGCTCCTAGAGAAATCATACAGATCAAAACGAATGGAGGAGTCCACTGATCCGAGAAGGATGCTCCGAGCCGCGCGTTCCAAAGGGTGACCACGCCTATCGGAAACATAAAACTGCTCGTCCCAAAGGTAAGAGAAAGCAGTCTCAGTTAATTCTCTCAACCAGATACGATAGTTGCTACCATCAGAGCGCAAAAAACAGGAGGAGAACCGGGCAATCCCATCACGGATCAGAGAGGACTCCGCGCGATGGTCCAGAGACGTATCCTGGATGTGAGGAGCGGTTGGTTGGTCCGGGGAAGGGATGGGCATGGTCCGAGCGCCGACAAAGGTATCCTCGGCCTCATCATCGGATGCAGGACGCCCAGCAGCTTGTCGCCGAGCTGCAGAGCGGGTGGTGATGGTGATGGGGGAACGTTGTACAGACATAGTGGGTTAAAAATGAGGGGATACAGGAGCTAAAGACACACAGAAAAAAATTTGGACACAGAAGCAGGTAGGAAAGAGCGAGGATAAGGAAACGGGATGCAACACCGAGGAGATGGAAGGTTGGGGATATATAAAGAAATGCTGGGAATGGGAGGAGGGGAACCACACGTAGAGGAAGAGTGGAAAAACTGTGGAGAGGGAAAATCACGCGCACAGATCCACACCAAGTTACTATAATCAGAAATTGATCCACCCAGATGACCACACCGTAAAAAGAATACACAACGAAACACGTTGT